TCTTCCAAAGTCTTAAGTAACCGCTTTCATTGGCTACATAATGACCTGTCCAAAGGTGATTTCTCACTTGTACGCGCACAAGATTTAAGGTTGTATTCTCCTGCTGTTCGGCGTATCGCAACACACTGCTAGCGCATATGTCACATTTTCATGTCTACCCAAGGAATGCCACAAACAGTTTGAGCCGAAGGCTCCGTGACTGATATTTGTGTATTTTGTATATGTAACTTATCAATTTGTAATTATATATTTTTGTTTGGTCCCATCATACAGTGCATGCGAAGCGATAGGGTAGCGATGGTGTAATAAATGCTGAGAATGTACTCATTTGGGTGTATAAATGCCATATGGCTTGAATTGACTTCATTTGAACCAGACTTGAACACTCATGTGGCCGATTAAGAAGCATCCTTAAGTATCTCGAACGTGTGGCATACTTCGGTGTAGAGGTTTGGAGTATCCCCTAGTTGTTTGACGGGGGCATTCTACCTCAACCCTTGACAAGACATACCTTAAAGTAAAGCCACAGTGAGAACAGTTAGCTTTTCACTTACTTTTAGTTCTTGTCGCCGCGCACACATTGCTTTCACTGATAAAGTGTGCGACATAGTACATCACATGTACGTTACTAGCTTTGCGTCGTTTTGCCTTTGTGAGTTACAGATGGATTTCATATTCTTCGGCAACTCTATCAGACACGGCTGAGGCTGATGTTGCATACATCATGCTTCTTCAGCGCAGTCGGGCTACACCGAACTATACTTAGACCAGATTCTTTTAAGCTGGTTAAAAAGTATTTCTCGTTATTAAATTTGCTCAGTTCTCTTATTCTGCTGCAAATTTCGTGTCAATTTGCGCATTTCTTTTTCTTCGAATCCCATGTTGATTGTTTGATATCCCGGTGTGGCTGCGCTTGATAAATGTTGACAAGACGCCACTAACACCACTCTAACACCATCAACCTCGATTACTGGCTCCAGCAGACTGTGAGTCGGTGCTGGGGGGACGCGGCGCACGGTCGTCGGAGCCGTGCACTCAGTGTGGAGCAGACTACTGAGCAACCACCGCTTTGTGTACATCTGGTACGCATGATTCCCAATTTAGAAAAACAGGAATGCTGCCACTCTGCATGTTGAATGAGTGTAAGCCAGACTCCGTTGTAACATTGTGACTCCCATCCACATACTTCCCGGTCTCATTCTTTCGGGTTTGCACTGGATATGTGGTGTGTGCATGGACCGGCCGTTGGTGCAGCGCAAACCATGCATGATCCTTCTGTGAGCGCAGGAGTCCTGTACCTGTCCCCTTGGAGGTCGCAATGACACGCAAACCCGGAACCGGATGCCACGAACCATGCAAGTGAGACGCAGTTTTCGAGCTGTGGCCCATTTTCGATTGCAGCACTGTGCCTTTGCTGCAATCACGGCATACCAAGTATCATGTCGTGTGTGTGTGTTGCTGGCATGTTTTGTTCAGACAGATTTAACATATGGCCTCAGTGCATCCATACGGAGCGCGATGACGCAGTGACGTGAATCTTTTCAGGTCAAGTGGTTGATTATTTGAGGTGGCGTTGTCACATGTTCGTAGTTAAGATCAATATTATGTTAAGTTGCAAGACGCACGATGAGAATGCTGGCTAGTGACCTACCAATCTATAATAACCCATTTCGTACACATCTCTCACTACATCCACTACTCTCTCAAACAATTTCATCCTGCATCGGTCCACGCCAAAGTCACGATCTTGTGCGCATTTGCTGTGCATGCATCGCACCACATGCTGATTTTGAAAAAGTCATGTACCTACATACTATGGGTATACCCTCTTGCTACCAAATACGTAGGTATACGCTTGGCAGGAAGTTAGCCCAATCTACCTCTACGCAATTACGACATGCATTGACCGATAACATTGTGCAATCTTGTTTAAAAAGTTTCTTTGTCTGCAACCAAATGCACATTAGTCTTATCCCTCTGAGCGCACTTAACGCAATGCTGGTGAGGAGGGGCTGTCAGGGTTGGGCTGCATGACATCAACGGTCTCAGTGTAGATGCAGGCATCCTATGACTATTCTTAGCCACTCTATACGGTGAACTCAAAAAACACTGTCATCAGTCACGGCGTGTGACGGTTGTATTTAGGTCTTAAAATCAGCCCCCTAATACAGCCATATTGTTTCACTGATCGAAATGGTTGATACTGCATTACAGACGTGTATACTAGGTATCACTCGTTTATACACCATCGCCCTCTACTCATTGTTCTTATTTTAATCAACTAGGGCTAATGCGTCATTGTTATAATTATATTGTGCAGTTGGACAGAAGCAGAATATATACGCAGCCTCCTGATGTCTGCATGAAGTTTATTACGTCTCCTGCTTTCAGATGGCTGGGCTGACGAACCGTTGGTGCGGTACTGAGCATGCGGCGATTGCCGCTAAATTAAAGCCCTTGCATCTTTTAATGTAAGCTAACCAGAGAAGTCAGGAAGTGCAGTCTGTTCGCTGTACTCATTTATAATACATAAAAGTCCGGTAACTTTGACCGTGATCTTTCTACGAACGAACAAAAAACACAAAGTATCGGAAACGGTACTTATACCTAATGCTTATGTTGTTATTATGCATATTTATCGGTCCATAACATTCATTGCCGCTCAAGTCAGAGATCTCTAATGTTGGTAGATCCACATGAAGGAATAAAAGGAAAACTAAAAACATCGCCTGGTACATCATTGAGAGTTGTAGCAAATGCCCCGTTAGAATGATGGCACTTGACCTGTATTTAGAAAGCAACTCACGTTACCTCCAGCTTCTGGTATTTCGAGCGAAAGAAGTGAACAGGCGTTGATATTGTTCGATCATTTTGCTGTGGTCACCGGCTGATTTCTTTACGATCGAGACAGGACCCACCTGAGGTCGATTTAGAGGACGTTGCACTGTCACTGCATAAACGAGGGTAGATGCGAAAGCAGACTACTCACAGGTTCTGACTATCGACCCTGTTAACCAACATTAGTGAGCCAAGTGGCTCCACAGCCTCTTACCGAATCACCATATAATGGGTTGAAAGTCGATTCTACAATCCAGAAAAACTTGCGAAAGCGCGTAAGCGTTTTCTACCAGAGAACGCACACCGGCATACGACTATGTGATTCACGCCTCTATTAGCAACTTCACTTACTAATGGTTGTTTGCCTTCCTCGTTGCGGCCAGTTGCAGCAGTCATCTCATAGGCACTTTATAAGCTAGTTTAAGGTGACATAAAGTGCCTTTCACTCCTACTGGTGAAATCCTAAGAACACAGCGTGTGCTCCAGAGCTCAGAAACAAAGCCATGAATAGTCTTGTCCTTGAAACAAACGTTGAATCACTAGTGGAACCCACTCCCATGCCGTGAAACACATTTCAGCTATTTTACAGTTTCATCGTCTTTATTCATGTAGTCTGCCTACATTGTCTCAGATAATACGGAACTCAGGGCTGTGCTAACGGCGTGATTCAATGTCTTAGTGTGAAAGTCTATAGCCCACTCATCGTCAGGGTTTGTAGCCTGTTCCAACACATAGTCGAGGGTTTCCGTTCCTCGGTGTTCCTCATAAATACTCAAGCGATGTTGTCAAGCCCATCGATCCTCAAACATAAAACCAGCTTCACAGTGTGTGGATAGTGGAAAACGCTGAATGACAGCTATGCATAATTGATGCTTGATTTCACGACGAGATGTTGCATCCAGGTAGCTCTTAGCCTCGAAATTTATCTCTAGGTGAAGCTCTCGCATGATAGACCACTTGACAGACGGTTATTAGATAACAGAAAAATAGGAAAAATATCACTCCTCAAATGATTTTGCAGTTGGCATATCTGGCACTTATCGAGCCACGAACAGAGAGCATTCTCTGTACACCTTAGACCAATGCTTCAATACCTTGTTAGGCTAGCACCACTAACTACAGACCACATTCATGGCAAGCATAGCATACACCCGAACTAATTAGATGACACATGCAGCCTTTTCGAAAAGGTCTACTGCGCTCCGTTACCTCAACTTATAAGCAGTTTTTCTACACTATCCTGAATAACACCACAGGGTCAGAAGAACTTGCTTCTTAGTGATCCAGTTTGCCGGTTATATGCATCAAAATTTACATACCCAGAAAGCAGCTGACGGATTACTTTTCCTTCTCATGCTTCTTCCACGACTTTTTCGTTTAATGCTGGGTCACATAATTCTGTAGCACCTACCAATAGACTCTCGTTTGTCATTGCGCTTTGTTCTTGACAATTTCTTCCATAGAGGGCTTCAAAATAAAACCTAATATAACGGTTCTATAAAACACTTCCGTTAGCTCGGCCCATGGCCAACCGAGATGCGTGTTTAGTTAGCTGATAGGCATGTTTGCTCACAGCCTGTGTTTTGAGAATTCATTTTCATGTTTCATGTTCAGGGTGGTTCAGACTGGGCCATTCAAATGGTAACAACGTTCGCATCCCATTATCCGTCTGCTATCTGATTCAAGTTGGCTACTGTACGTGTGTTTCTCATGACTGAGCAAAAACAATCAGCAGGTGTTAATATATCACCGTCATTTAGATTGTATCTTGCCCTACTTCTTTGGGGTTATCGTCGGCCGCTAAATTGATTTATTCGTTCTGTTATTTTAATTTTAATTTTATTAGAAATAGCCACATCGCTAGTGTGGTAGCTCCATTACCCGTCGAAAGAAACACAACGACCCACTATTTCAAGCATCTTGATTGGTTTCTAAACCGGCAGTTACTTCTTTTATTAGATCATTAACAGACCATTGTTTACGCTAAGTCGAAATCACGCCACCTGTTCGCAGCGTGTTCACCGACCACTAAGCTGTCAGTACCGTGATCAATATCGACACCTCGAAGTATGTAAAATTTGCACATCACACTCGCTTGCTTTACGTTCTCAACGTGTGCCCATTACTGAGTGAAATAATATTACCATCCAAATTTTTCAAAGTTTACGATACTCAGAAATCGCTATCCATGAACAATGTGATTTCACCAGACGAGGCGGGTGACCAGGACTCCAAAATGTCCCAACGATCCACACTGACTGACGAGAAGAACAGGACCCTAGTACCAATCAGCAGGATTGAGCAACTTCGTTCCACAGAACTGCAAAATCTCCACCGGTATCCTTCTTTCGAGTCGTTAGACACCGCAATGTCAGTGAGCACTTCATCGTCGCGTAGTGCGCATGTCGTTCACGACTCACGTCGACGTACTCTTTTGCATGATAACCGGGACCGTGATTCAACAACCAGCTCAATGCTTCGAAACGACATGCTGGATGACACGACAAGCAGTCTTTTGTCAAGTTCTAACACTTCAAGTGTCTACTCGCCGGTCACGAATGCTGAAAGGGCCAGTGTAAGTACTGTGATAATGTTTAATGCATGGCTTTTCAAACAAAGTGGCATCTGTAAAGACTCCTCAGAGTTGAAATTATTTAGTCTGAAGCTATGTTGCATAGTGGGTGCTGTTCGCCCGAAATGTACAACTCCACGACCGATTTCATGTTTATCTGCGTTCGCCAGATAGAGGCAGCAAAACCTCGATTCCTACCCTAGACGTTGGTATGCCTACCTACTATCGACAGTGTGAACGCTGCCAACGCTGTGCGACACTCTCTTGTCTGTGTCGCTCAGTGATGGTCCTCATCTACATTGATATAGTTCAATTATAAAATTATCTTGCGTAGTATACCGAAAAAACTTGATAATGATGGATAATTCTTAGTTCGGAAAACTAAAAGACTATACAGTAACTTCAAAATGTTCTAAAATTACAGTCTTTTCTACCAGTCATTTATATATATATATATATATATATATATATATAACCCGAACAAATACAAATTGTTTCCTAATCACTTTTTGCACTTTGCAAACCTGGTTCAAGGTATGCGCAAGAACTCATGTCTTCGGTATCCCATTTCTGTAATTATATATTACCAAATATTATTACAGGGGTAGAACAGGTTGTGTCTATTTTGAACATAACCAGCTCATTTTGTTTGCTTTCGGATGCGACATTTCCCGGTTTCCTATAGAAGAATCTTAAGGTCCTAAATAGATCATTTCCGCAACTGTGTTGATGTAGTGGCATTCCAGAGCCAACCCTTGTTGATATCTTTGTCTCTATTCATGCCAATTCACGCAAAATGCTTGCTTCAAATAAGTCACCAATACAAATTATCCTCTTCATGGTACGTTGTCTGTAAGTGTGTTAAATTTTTCAAAGTTACGAAAGTTCAGGTCCCTTTATACTCTTACAATGGATTACCACTGAACTGCGTTTCAGATTTAGTGCTCCTATTGTGTGTAACCGAAGCAAGTCGTTCTGGATTTTATAAACAATTTTACACTGTAACCAGGTTGCTGTCTATGCCACTTAGTAACCTACTTGGCTATTACTGGTTTTAACTTTAATACATATTACCATGCTGAAGGTATTTGCACAACAGCTGAATATTTACTCATCTAGGTGCATAAGTTTCTTTCTTGGAATAAACTGAATTAAAAGTGCTGTGTTATATTTGCTGGAACCAAGAACACGGAAGCCGGTCCCTTATTGATATTATATTTCTCTCGATAATTTGAGGTGCAGCTCCCCTGATGGGATCTGATCACTTCATGTATGCTGGGTCCAAAACTGACTTGGGATAAACAAATCAGCTGCTCGGGAAAGTTAAGATGAGTAGTAGGTATCAATCGATTTTGACGAATTGCGTATAAAAATAGGTTAATTCTATGGGCTACCGATGGGGAATACGAAAGGCAGTGGCTAACTTCCTTTATCCTTGGTCCGGAAACAGTTCTTCATACTTCAGTCTACAATGATATGGTATTCCCTGAAAAGTTGTCTTCAACGTAGATAACCAAAATGAATAAGTCATGAAGCTATGTTGAGAGTCATTTTGAATTACACATTGTGTGGATGGATTGCGACGCGCAATCTCAATGTTGACCGTGATTCCTATTGAAGTGAACTTTGGTCTTTCGATCACGAGGACCGTAGCTGATGCAAATAGAAATTGGGTGTTATCCGCACGAAAACACTACACTACTATGAAGCGTTTCGATGTTATTACATCTCATCAGATGGAGATAGCAGGCATCAAACCCGGGACCATCGGGATGTTAGTTGTGACCGCTACCCCTAAGCCACCGGGTCACGGGCAACGCAATGCATCCACACAACGTGTACTTCAAAATGACCCTCAACATCGTTCATTGTACCGTTGTGCCAAGCGTTGCCCGTGACGCGGTGGCTTAGGGTTAACGGTTACAACTAAAATCCCGATGGTTCCGGGTTCGATGCCTGCTATCTCCATCTGATGAGAGGTAATAACATAGAAACGAGTCCTAGTAGTGCAGTGTTTTCGTGCGGGTAACACCCAAAGTCATGAAGCCACTCAATATTTGGGTCTGAAGGACCTGCCAAAAGTAGACTGAAAATGAACAATGAAACTGATGACGGTAAAAAAAGTATTATACAGTTTGATAAGAAGCCCCCAAATGCTTAGATAAGGACTGAAGCTCAGTGCAAATATTTCAACACACAGGACGGATGCACATAAGGAAAGTTACGAAGGCCCGTATTTTCAAAATCAAAGGTTTGGAAAGAGGTAGGCTGGAATACTATCATCGAGGCATTTATTATTGGTACATGGGTTAACAATCTGGATATAGTTGAAGAGGATTGAGGTATGCAACGAATCTCGATCTAAGATAAGGCTTGCATGGAGAACAATAAATGTTAATTAATCAAAGACTGGAAAATAAAACAAGTAAACAACAATATAGCAGGAATGCTAGAAGAATGCGACAGCACATCTCCAATAAAAATGCATTACTCAATTCGGCTGGACTGTGACATGTGCGGTCCGCGAGCAATATTGTGTCAACTCAGGTCAGCAGAGGAACCGGAAAGGAAATTGGCGGCAGCGGAGGGGTCGGAATAATAGGTGGAGACAAATTGTTTATTTAAATATTGTCACATGGATCAACCACACACCGCGGTTCAAACAAGCCATCACTCCTGGACTTAATCCTGACTAACAAAGAGTTGATGGTTGAGTCAGTAGCATACGATCCTCCACTGAGCCGTAGCGACCATTCAGTCCTAACGTTTGGTTATGTGTGTTATGCTAGTAGTTTTGATGAAGAACGAGAGACCAAAAGGAATATTACTGACTATTCCAAGCTTCACAACCTAGCGACAACCGTCGATTGTGACCTACAGCCGCATTGTTTCGGGAGCAAAGCATGGAATGAAGTGAAATGTAACGTTAACTAGGTCATACAAGCGCCCACAAAAGTTGTACCAGTACAAGTGGCGCATAGCACCTACAGTTTACTCATAAGCAGAACAAGTACATGGGTCAACAGAAGGGATGAGGTTTGCAGGCAACATTAGATAAGCGCATGTGATAGCACAAGGGAGAATTATAAAGCAATCAGAAACTACTGCACGTCACTCATTGGAGCCGACAAGTACGATTGTCCGGGGATCATGGCACTCAACTTGAGGATTAACAACAAACTTCTTTACATATATATGAATCGCAGATAATAGTTATGTTGGAATACCACCACTGAAGAAGGTCAGTGACCTAACCACTACTGCTATAGATACGGCTAACGCACTACTTCAGCAGTTTGCTTCAGTGGCTACAAATACCATGGAACCATCGTCCTACCAAATCCCAACAAAAGTCGTCGGCATATCCATTGTCACCACCCCAGCGACTGTCTTAAGCGAAGTACAGTAGCTCCACGAAAACCGTGCCTCGTGAAGCGACAAGATTTAAACAAAGGTACAAAAATCTTGGCCCAGCCATAGCAATACATCTTGCAGTCATTTTCCATGGTCTGCTTGGCTCGCATACACTCTCATTTGAGTAGAAATGTAGAATTATCACTCTGATATACAAATAGGTAAGAAATCGGATCCTGTCAACTCTCGACATATTGCTCTCCTACCAGCTTTATCAAAAGTGATGGAATCGGTACTCACAGGTGAACTCACCTGACTGGGAGCTAATCTAAGTGACAGAATAATCTAGCTAATAGAATCCGACACCCACTACGAAAGCCTGTGCGTCTCCAGTGGTGTAGCGCAACAATCCGTCCTCGACCCCATACTGTTTATTGTTTACATAGATGATCTCTTTGCAAGCATTTCATCCTGGATGCAAATGTTTGCTAATGGTGCTAACCTATGGAGAACAATTCTCTTAGCATCGGACCGTGCTTATCTCCAGAGCGAGCTGGACTGGATTAACCAGTGGATAGAAAGGAACCAGCTCCCACTGAACGCTGCAAAGTGCCACCTGCTCAAGGTGCGCAGCCGCTTCATCGACATGTCTTCTGGGACAGCAGGATATGCAACAGGTGACTGATGAATGGACATAGTTATCATCGTACAAGAGATTGTTGGCCATTCGCTCTAATTTTGGAAAGCAGCAAATGTGGCGAACTTGAACTTCCGGCTTTTGAGGCTAGCTCTCGATACCATTATTGAGAAATTCATATATTATGCCTCATGTTGAATATGCTGTTCAGGCCTGGCATCCATGATTAAAACGAGACACTCGTCTCTTGGAGCAGCCCCAAAGAAGACCCACCAAAGCAACAAGGACTATCCAGTCTAGGTTACGAACTGCGTCTTCGTGTACTCTGTGTGTTCTCCTCAGAATACCGACGGCTTCGTGGAGATCTCTCTCTCACATACCGGATAATAACTGAGAGCGAGGGCTCAAGTAAATCACTCCTGACCCTAGCTCCTTACAAACAATGCCGAGTCCACCACCTGAAACTACTGACGCAACGCTGCCGTTTGGGTTTTACGAAGTCTTTTCCATCTGTTAAAATTTGTCCTTATTGGGATGCGCTACAAACACATGTGATGAACGCGCCAGACACTGAGCTATTCGAAAGGCCATTAGACGTTTATTTAGGTGCTTAACGATACACAACAGTGTGATACCGTTCAAGGTATAAACTACTGATAATTCACGTTCCACGTTGAAAAGTTTTTAATTTTAATTTTCCTTTGCATTTCCCTTTCTGTGCGTCCTTTAAAGTCATGCTTATTAGCCCATCACGCACCATTTAACTATTGAACTTAAAAATCCAAGAATTAACCCACATAATCAAACATGCGCAGCTAACACGGCGAAGAATTAATGAAGATGTAGCCCTACGAACAAGCTACAACACGAAGGAGCTTGTCTAGATACTGTGTCGTAGAGCCGCGGTCCTTTGATTAGTGAACTTGTCGACGGTGAGGGTCACTTACTTCACGACACATCTGCAAACTTTGGAGCGTTCAGTTACCCCTTGGCCACTTCTGTTAGTATCGGA